TCCTTAGTTCCTGCTCCCTGAAAGGAAGTGGTGATCCCCACCCCTGCCCCAGCAGTTCGTGTGTTCTATTAATAGAACCTTAGGAAAGGCACTGTTGCTCTGGCCTCTTCAGGGCTGCTCCCCATACCCCCGGGTGAGGTCCCCACGGGGCTGCCTCACTAAACAGGTGGTGCCGTCTTCACTGAAAACAAGGAGGAAGGGCTGCCTCTGCCCTTTCCTCAGAGGACAGTGTCCAGCACTCAGAAGACATTGAAATGGGTAGCTCTTCTCCTTATTCATCCGTCTGCTAACGCAAGAGATGCAGGAGATGTGGGTTCAGTCCCTGGGTCAGAAAGATCCCCTGAAGGAGGAAAATGGCAACACACTCCAGTATTCTTGCCTGGAGGATCCCATGGACACAGGAGCCTGGTGGGCTAAGTCCACAGGGTCCCAGAGAATTGGACTGACTAAGCACATTCTCATTACTCATGGTGGTTATATTCTACAATTTTGTCACGAACCCTGAATTAGTGAATATTGAACCACTCTTATAGAGGAAATACAGGGTTACGTTCCTACGAGCTTCTGGTCACATTTTACTCAATCAATCAATACCTAACTTTGATTCTATGTGTTTCTGTTCAAAGATAGCTTGTTCAGTGTACTGTGGATCCATTGACATCGACCCTACTGCCCACAGCACTGTCATTCACATCTGAACACTGCTTAGCACATGGGTATTTTTCCCAGGTCACAGTCTTCTTGAGCTTAGGCACAGAGGGCTAGGCTGGAGCCACTTTAACAGCAAAGTCGCCAACAAAATGCACAAACAGGCAGAAGGGACCTATGCTTGCCACCGGAAACAAGAAGGCAGAGCACTGGCTCCCGGCTCCTCCACTGGGAAGGTCCGGGCTAGGTGACTCAAACGTTCTTCACTCTGCACAGGTCAGAGGGTCACCTGCAAAGAAGCCACACTGCTGCTGCTTTAGGGACACAAGCTGTACTCTAACCAGTGGGAAGGTTCACAAATAGGGAAACTGAGAGTAATAAGGATAAACATAAACATGCCATATAAAAATTTTAGCACTCAGCTCAATAAAGAAATGCTCATAGTAGTGTATTATCATTGGAAGATAATGATAGCTCCCGGGAGGGCGCAGCAAGGGGCGAAGAGAACCAGGCAGCTTGTTAGACAGCTTGCGCCCGTTCACAGACATGGTAAGAATCCGGGGGTGCGTTTTGGGTTCTGAAATAATTCATCTGAGGCATCCAGTAATTATGTTACATCCTTCACCTGAGTTAAGAAAGCACACAGACTGAAACACCACTGTTTCTTAAGGTGTTTCTTTTAACTTTCCATAACATTTTAAAAATGTGTATAAGATACAATACTCACTTATAGATTATCTGACTTGAGGTCCAATGCACAGGCCTCACTATGCAACTTGTACATATTTCATCATCTAATTTGTTGGTCAGTGTCTAACAGTAAAATGCTTCAACATGTCACTCTGTTGACTGCACATTGATAAGCAAACCCTACAGCTTCTAAACATATGAAAACTTCCTTTCTTTATTATTGGACTCTCCACACTAAATCAAATCAGAATTAATTAAAATGTATGGCTATAGCAGAACAACCAGTTATCTTTGACATCTGCAAACTTTAAAACATTTTGGCATACAAAGAATTTTTGTTTTTTCTGGATATGACTGGTCACCAGGGCAGCCAAGAAACTGCTGCAAGAAGGAGACCAGGTTATCTTGACTGGCCTGGCGTTTTCATCACCAACCTCACCATATGTGAAGACACACCACACCTTTCTCTTCAAAGCTTAGGTTTCAGACTATACTTAGCACTTCAAGGAGCATGGATGCCAACACTTCCCATCATTAAGTTACAGACTCCTGCTAATCTTCCTCTGAATTTTCAGATCTCCATTGGGCTGAGCAGCAAACTCATTCAGGATCATATCCATAGTTTCCTTGAGTGAAGCGGGGAAAGGGGGCTCCAGCCAGAAACAGGACAATGAGGGCAGCAGTGGCTTACAGAAAATGGGAGGGCACTTTGTCCCTCTGGGAAGGCTGGCAAGGTCAAGGTTCTCAGACCCCATGCACCATCCAGACAAGACACTGGCCGATAGGCTCTGACCCCGCGTCTTCCCAGAGTCCCAACAGAAGGAGGCTCCTCCCTCCCTACAGTCCCCCCGCTACCCACGCCACAGGAAGGAGCAAGAGGCAGAGAAAAATCTGGGAATGGGTTCTGATTCATGGACCAATCCTTCTGTCTAGGTAGATCGATGTCCATCCTGCTGACCCTTCCTGTTATGGGTCCTGCTTCTACCTCAGCGACCACAGGCTTGGCTGATTACGTGCTCTGGAGCAGGAGGAGACTGGACTGCTGGACGCCACATCTAGACCAGGCCCTGAGAGCCACTGGGGCATGGTTCTTTCCCCTCTACCGTGAGCACAGCCACGTCCTCGATCTGGGAAGGAGGAAGACCTGCTGGAGAAGGCACATTGAGACTGGACCCTTATTATTGCTGTGAACCCTTTAGATTTGGGACTGTTTGTTACAGCAGCATAACCTACAAAGGATGACAAATAGTGTCTTATTGGCTTGGGTCAAATGCTCTTCAACACCTCATCAGTCCTGGGACACTCCCACATAGACACATTAGAGCCAGGAAAATGGGAAGGGGGGAGGAAAGGATTCCTGAAGATAGAAGGAGCTTCACAGGGAGAATGTTGATGCAGGTAGTCATGACTGTGCTCAGACAGCCAACCATTCTCCCACTGAAATGTTTCCCATGACTTCTGTGTAAAATGAAATTCGGAATCTTTATCCTCCTGTCAACAGCCTTTCAGGGACTCCTTCAGTTCATCTAGCCAGATCTCCTGCTGTTTGTAAAATTCTGTGTAAGCCAGAATGATTTCCTCAGAATCCCTGGAGAAAAAAAAAGAGAGTGAGAGACAGACCATCCCTGTTCCCTTCTGCCTGAAATGTCTCTCCGGTCTTCAAACCCGTATATCTGCAATGCCAGGGAAAGCTGGTTTTCCGCAGCAGGATTCTTACATGTTCAGTAATGTTTACTGGACTGATGAGAACTCACCTACTAAATGAAGAGTTCTCAGACCACTCCTGTCGTGTCTGTTCTTAAGCCATAATCTCCTCTTGTTTATACTGACACTCCCAGAACTTACTGTAAGGTTGCTGTGAGTTACTAGATACCTTTTGGGTCACAGCATCTAGCTTCTTCCACACCAGGCTGAGCAGCTCCCACCATCATAAGGCGCACGCACCTCAAGGGCCGTCTCATTCCCTTGCCTGCAGCAGGTGCTCAGGGTCCTTGGCCGGGTCCTCCTCGCCATCACTAAAGCGGATGTGCACGACTGATAACTCATTCCTGGTAATGGGAAGCTCTCAGAAACCTGCTTCACCTTTATGGCCCAAGCGAGCCATCTCTCTTCTTTGAAATAAGACTGGACATGTGTGTGTCACATGCCCTTCAGGAGTGTCGTTGCCCAGGATTGGACATACCTGCCAATGTGGTGAGCTGCACCCATTCCTTCTGACTCAGTGGATTAAACCAGAGAACCAAACAAGACACAGTCTTCTCTCACACTTTAGGTTCTAGAATCAGTGTGTCAATTTCCAATTTCCTTTTACTAAACCAGGCACAACAGCTATTATCATGTTCTTCAAATTTATCCTCTAACCACTATGGCATTGCATTATTCACTTGTGTGGACTTTTTTTTTAACGATTCCCTTAGCAATAAAACTAGTTCTTTTTTAATTCTGAGGTCTCATTCTTTGGCACTTTTTTCTGAGATCTCAACATCTGGGCACTTAGCCACCAAAACTGCTGTCTACAGCAGCCTCTGTAGAGAAGGAGTCTTCACGGGGTGATTTATCTGAGGATCTTGTTCCCCTTTATTAAATCCTTGGGAATATATTCCCCTCAAATGTTCTTGCTTCATTAAAAAAAAAAAAACAACTGAATTTTCATAAGATAATTCTAAGGCAGAGCAGGACGACCTAGATGCTGTATAGGCCCCTCTCCTGAGGCGGGACCTGGGCTGCTCCGCAGTGCCCCCAGGTGGCTGCTCGGGGACACTCAGCTCTGGGTCCCAGTGTCCTGAGGTCTCTGGTTGCTGGTGTGTCTGTCTGCATTCGTGTGCATGTGTGTGTGCATGTGCTTGCATGCATGTGTGTGCACATGTGTCTGTGTGTGCATGTGCTTGCTCGTGCGTGTGTCTGTGTGTGAATGAGTTGGAGAGAACTGGTGGACAGATTCTATGATGAGTAACCTGGAAGCATGGCTCTTTGAAAACTCATTCCTTCTCCTTCTCAGAACCAGTAACAGAAAACAGACAGCATTTGGGACAAAGATTCAGATGGTGATGAACATTTAGGGTTGATAATGGAGGTGCCCTGAGAGGTGAGTGTGTTGTAGGGAGCTCTGCAGATGTCACTCCACAGGCACAGAAGAGTGGACTCACTGTTGCCAAGTAGGCAGGGGGGCAGCTAGCCCATCATCCACACATGACAGAGGACTGCAAACGGGCCCTCTCTCCTTCCTATGTCTTCCTTTGTTTCTCCCTATTGTTTTTGGCTGTGTTTGTTTTATCCTGTTTGCCCTTCTTCCCTGAAAAGCTGGCATCTGCCTCAAACCTGAGGGCTGCAGCATCCTTAAGCCCACGCCGGCCTCTGGAGGAGCAGGGTGATTAACCCCCGAGCTCTGCTGCGCTAGCAGAGAGGTGGCGGGAGGAGCCCTGGCTCCCTGGCCGCCTGCTCGGGGCTCCAACCAAGCCTGTGTCTCTGAGATAAAAGGCAGCTTCCTCTCCCACAAACACAGAGACAGCAGGTCCTCTGAGGGTCGTCACGGCCGCTGACTGGGTCTGTGCTGGTAGGAGCCTGCTCCTCACGTCCCAGGCCTCCTGGTGACAGGACGACCATGTCTGGCCCTGCAGAGGCAAGCAGGGCTAGAGTGACGGCGCTCCTGCAGCCAACAGGCCATGGTCACGCCCTGTGCTCAGGAGGCACAGGGGAGCCGTAATCGTCCCTGCGCCTTGCCCGCAGAGTGCCCTGGACAGAGGTCAGCTGGCTGAGTGGCCTCCGCCTGCAGTCCACGAGGGACTGTCTCTTCTCCAGCTCCACTGATGAAATGTTAGAGTGTCCGTGTGGGCCAGGCGTTCGTGACACAGAAAAGAAAACCATCTTTACACCGCAACTTTGTTTGTACCTGAGGTGACTAGTCCCGCACACCTACTTGCTGACCAACAGAACCACTTAACATACCAAAAAAGTATTGATCTTTTGTAAAAGACCTTGATTTCTGCTATCTCAACTTGTGGTTCATTTCTTGAGACACTGATGATGTAAGAATCCCAAAAAAGTCGTCATCTTACCTTAGTCATCATCTGTACCTAACTGTCCATGGGGGTAAAACTGGAAAGTATGTTTGAGCCTCTTCACTTTAACACACATGAAGTGCATCTTTGATGGGATCACTGTTTATCACAGCTTTGATGGCTGACAGACACAAAATCCTTGTGCAATGAGATACCACAGGCCAAGAAAAGCAACAAAAATAGGAAGGAAAATAAAAAGCTTATGTACCTCAGGTAAATACTCAGAAAGCCCAGAGATTATACTGGCCCTATTTCCTTAAGTTCAAAGATCCAAATTAATGTATGAAAATTCTGTTTCATGCCTTTTTTCTGATTTTTACAAAAAAAAAAAAAAACTTTGAAAAACAGAGTAAGTAAAAGTAAAAACATAACATACATGTGAAACAAATAACTGGGGAATTGAATGCTTGGGTGTTCGTTGAGCTTTAGAAATAAACTGTATCTTATCACATGGTGCAAGGTGTGAAAATTACTATTATGAGGCTTGGGGAAAGCATTTAGACTAATGTGCTTAGTAGCCACATCCAGGTATAGTTAGGGTCAGAATATAATAGTATTGGTTGGAAGCATCTGGGTTTTATAGAGATGTGGATTTACTGTTTTTCCTCACTGCCATTTTTAGAAAGCCACCTCTTCTCCTGTTCCTCTGGGATGTTGTATCAAGAGGGACTGTGGCTGTCACATCCTGAAAATTCCTGTAAGAAAAAGGCTCCAATGCATTTCAAAGCACAGCTGAGTGGATGGGGGATCACTGACATCCTCAGGCCAAACCATTTCTCTTAACTGTGTGTCCCAGGGGTGACCCAATGACCCCATGTGTCCTCAGAAATCTCCCGTAGTAGACAATTGAAGTAAAAACAAGGTGTTTTCCTCTTTCATATCAATAATGTAAGCTGCTCCCCTCACACAAATACTTCATGTCTAGTGGTAAAGAGAAGTGTGCGCTAAAGGGTTTTCTTCTGAGTGCCTGACGCTTTCAGAGCTCACCTTCCACTTGATATACATTCTATAAACATTACCACTTGCCTTCATTACAGAATATGCCTTAACCGTAAAGACCAGTTAGGTCAAGTGTATACAGAGTATGCAGTGATCAGTCTTCCCTGGTGGCTCAGATGACAAAGAATCTGCCTGCAATGCAGGATGCCCATCCAGTGATTAAGAGAGTGTCTGTTCCTTATGATCTACTAAATGCATATCAGTGAACAAGACTGACTATCATGGTGACTGTACATGGTGCGGGGCGGGGTCCTCAAACATGACTAGACATTCACTCACCTGTGGAGACCTAAAGATGCTAACACTTGCCTCTACCTTTAGAAATCTGATTCCCATCTTGTGTGGAGACTTTGAGATCTGCTTTTTATTTAACACTATAGTAAGTAACCAAGGTTAAGAGTCATTGTGTAAACATGGATCTCCCAATGTAGTGGCATCAGGAACTTTTCTAAAAGACGTTTTGAATTCTTATAAATTTCTAGTACAATTTTTTTTTCTCTTTTTGCCATTTTCTGTGGCTTCCAGTTGTTAAGAACTGAAAATTATTAGGTCCAACTGAAGGCTTTTGTGGTTAGAACACCTATTAAACTTCACTAGTTTAGGGTTCTACAGAAGATGCTACTCCTGGGCAGGTAGTGTCACCCACCAGGAGACAAGATAATTAGTGTCATCTAATATTTTTAAATATGTGCCTCATTAAAACTATTTTCATTTTCAAGAGGACTCAATGTCCAGTATCATGAAATAATTGGCCTCATCTTAAGGAGAATGACTTTCTTTCTAAAGAGAGCTTAGAGAACTATGTCCCTTGTCATATAACGTTGGCTTGTGTTGAAAAATGTCCCTTTTTACAAAGATGTCCTAATTTTTAATCCCATGTGATTTACTCACATATTTTACCTTCTTTTCAGTATTTCCAAAACAGAAATGGTCATGGTACTTGAATATACATTTATCAAATCATCTGGAGTGAGAGGGGATTTTTTTAGCTTTTTTGATTGTAATTAATTGATTTATATTTTAGAGCAGTTTTATATTTACAGAAAAAAATTTACTGAGAGTTCCTATATAATCACTCCCAGCTTCTCCTATCAAATTCTGGGTTGGTGGGGTTTTTTTCTTTCTACATTTTATCACTTCATTCTCTTGTTCACATGGTTTCTGAAGAGAAGTCTAATGTAATTCATGTCTTTGTGCCTCTGTACATAAGGCTTTTTTCCTCAGCTCCTTTTACAACTTTGTCTTTGATTTTCTGCAGTTTAAATATGAGCCTGGTTGTTGATATTTTTATATTTATCCTAATTTGTATTCTCTGAGATTCCTGGATCTGTTGTGTAGTGTCTGCCATTAACTGTGGAAACTTTTGGCAATATTGTTACAACTATTTCTTCTATTTATTTCCTCCTTCCAGTATTCTTATTATACCTTTTATAACTATCCAGTAGTTCTTGGATATTCTGTTGTGCAATTCTTCCTTTTTTCTCTCTCTCTCTCTCTCTGTATTTTAGTTTTGCAAGTTTCTCTTAACATTTCTTCAGGCTCACTGATTCTTTCCTCAGCCACACCCAATCTACTGAAGGCTCCTTGGAGGTGATTCTCATTGCAGTTACAGCTTTCCTAGCCTTTCCTTCTGGTTCTTCCTTAGAGTTTCCATCTCTCTACTGACATGAATCATCTGTTCCTGAATGTCATCCATGTTCTTCATTACAACCTGTAGAATGTTAATCACAGTTATTTTAAATTCTCCATCTGACAATCCCATCTGCCAATTCTGAGTCTGGTTCTGATGCTTGTTCTATCTCTTCAACCCATGGTTGGGGGAGGGGCAATTCTGTTTTGTTGTCTTTTGTGCATGCCTAGTATTACTTTGTTATTTAATGCTGCACATGAGGTACCAAGTAGAAGGAAATGAGGCAGATAGACTTTTAGTGTGAGGATTTATGTCTATGAAGCTAGGAGTTAGGCCATGTTCACTGTTTGCTATAACTCCAGGTGTAAGAGGCTAATGTTCCTCCTGGTGCCCTAGTTTTGTCTCCTCTTCTTTGGGTTTCCTCCTCTTCTTAGATGAGGTCTCTTTCAAGTGTGTGCCCCATTTTCACATGGGAGCCCTGTTAACATGGTGGTGATGGAGCAAGTGAGGCAGATGTGTTCTGAGTCTGAGGACAAAGGGTCAGGGCTCAGTCTGTTAGGGAGCCTGTGCCCTGGGCTGTGACCCTCATTGAGCTTCTCAGTATGTTTTTCTGCCCCCTCTTAGGTGGAACGGGATGGCTGGCATGGAGTGGAGTTCAGTTTTCCTGTCCCACTGGTCATTTAGGCTCTGATAACACCAAGAGCGTAGGTCCAGGTTAAGTGACTTCCCCTGAGGCAGGTCTTATTAAGAGGCACAGAATGCTCTGTCCCATTTCACAATGGCTCCTTTCCCCTACTCCTGCTGGAAGCCTTTGGGGACTTCTCTCCAACACCCACTATCAGAACCTGGTAGGACTCCAGGAGATAAAACTCTCAAGAAGCATGGGACTCCCTGTGACTGGGTGCCCCTGGAGTTCTTAACTCTCAGACTCGTCCATACTGGGCCTCCAGCAGCCCGTCAGCTATGGGTCTGATCTCCTAGGGAGGCTTTCCTCACACGTGTGTTTCTGCTCCTGTGAATTGTGGTGTTCTGTGTCTGCTTGTCTGTCCTTCTGGTTTTCCCTGTGACCTCACTTCTCTGATGCATCTGAGAAGAGTTGATTTTTGGTAGGTTCAGATTTCTTCTTGCAATAAAGATGAAAGTGATGACTTTCTTCACATGTCCTGCAAGAAACTAGAAACCTTACCATCCAAATAGAAAATCAATATTCTTTTGCTTGATGATCAGGAATTCAAGCTGAAACCTCACTTCTGAAGATAAATGGATTTTAAAACAAAGGTCACCTGTCACCTTCCTGTCTCTCGTGGGCAGAGGGGCTGAGGTCCCATGTGATTAACAAATTCAGCCACGTGTCTGCTAGAATGTGGCACCCAGGTCGCAAGGGCATGAAGTGAAGCTTCATAAAGGAAGTTTCAATTTAATTGTGATAGAAAAATAGATGAAGATTTTAGAAACAAGACGGTTGGGTACATTCTCTCAGATGGTCTCCCTAGGAGATCCCTGGGCTCATTTAGTTGGTGTCAAGGCCTCTGGTTCCCCAACTGGGAGATGAAGAGAGTGGAGCCGAGAAATGATGTTCACACAGCTCCTCACAGACACAGGGAGTGGCTGTGCCCCTGAGGGCTCTTGGAGAGTGGGGGTGTACCCTCCACAGATAGCCCCTTCTCAGGGACCCCACGCACTGGCTTCCACACTCCTGCCTGAATAGCAGCACCCTGGGCTAAAAGAACTTTGAAATGCCTTGCTCAGGACAGTCATTTAGGGTCTCCTTTGCTTCTAACTTTCTATAAAATCCACAGAATGTTGCAATGAGGAAGATCAAGTTATTTGGAGAAGAGAGGAAGGGGCAAAATTTACTTAAAAATTTAGCTCTGAGTCTCCTTTAAAATTATGCCCAAGGTGAATGGTGTTGACACCAGGCCATGAGACTGTTCTCCTTTCCCCTTCATCATCTCCCATCCCCAGGGACTTCACCTGTATTTATTCTTGTGGATGAACCAGAAAATGCCTTCCGAGTAAACGGGCCAGCACAGGGGCCAGTCCTGACCTGCAATG